AAGGTGATATAGATTCAAGGACGAGAATGGCGACGACGACGAAATTTAATTATGCTTTTTTCACGTCAAATACTAGACACCCAGGAAAGCTTCATTGTAGGGTCATTTTTGTTAAGGTTAAAACCTCTCCCTCTCGAAAAATGAGAAAAGTTCTCACCACTACGTCATTAATTCTTGCTAATTCTCGTAGTAGAATGACTACGGCTATCGGGTTTTCCCGTCAAAATAACGCTGGTCCACGCGCGCGCACTTCTTGGTATTGAGAAAATCTCGCTCTCGTTCTCCTCACTCGTACTCGTCCTAGAATCTAAAGCTCTCTAATATGACTCTAAAAGGACTCTAAAAGGCAGTCGTTGGTCGTACTAACAGGGTGGTTGTAGAATAAAGGACTGGTAATGCGAGGTTCATGCTGCTGTTGTTTTTTATTTTGTTTTTTTTTTTGTTTGCTGTAATTATTCGAGAAATCTTTTAGGCATTTCTTTTTACAGTACCTTCTTTTCATGAAAAACTGATATTTCATATTTTTTACCTTGGCCTATATTGTGATGGGCTGTTAGGGAAAAAGCATAACTTCCCTATTGTAATGCCTCCGCAGTCTGCGATATCAATAGTTAGAATACCGGAACAATGAAGGATGATTATATTTTAGACATGGAAGAAATCAAACAAACAACCGTGCGGAAATCTTCATAAAAACACATCAGCTAATTAAAGAGCTTGTTTTGAAAAATCTAGGCAGATTTCTTTTGCACTATTTTTTCGAAGAATAATATATGCGTTTGAGTTTGCAAACAAACTCTTTCGCAATCAGTTTTGAATCTTAAATTTTTAATAGAAATGTTACGAGTATTGCAAAAGTCATTATGGCTTGTTTTACAACAAAACTTATCCGGTAACAACATATGTCTCGTTAAAAATGAATGCAAAAACCATTAACATATAGCGCATGCTGTTAGCTCGTAATACTGTGCTTTTCAAAACACGGAACGTGAGTTACACGAATTTATTAAATTATGTGTTATGTATGTCTACAGATGTGTTTTAATACCATTTTTATAATACCGCTATCATGGATCTCTAATGATTTAACGCTGTTCATGATTAAAGCCAAACATAGACTTCTTGGTAATTTTCACCCTGAATCCTCTGAGTGGTTTTATTCTCTGTTAACCATAGTTGTCAGATCCTAGATTTTCGCTGTATGCTCTTTGATTGCCCTTGGCTATGATTCAGTGTCTGTGTTAGAAATGCCAGCAAAAATCGTGTAAGTTGTAAAAATAAGAGTCGTAAACCCGAATGAGTCTGTACTTAAGGTTTTTTACACATAAAGTTTCAAAAATTCAGTTTTGCAGTTTCTCCGTTGAGTTGTAGAGAAATTGGATTGAAAGACTCTTTAATAGTTAATTAATGCTACTACTGTCCTCCTGAATAGGACAGAGACAAGCTATAACAGGTCTAGGCTAGGTTTGAATTGAGGAAGGGATTTTGAAGATAGGGGTGAGAAGTGCAGATCAACTTCACCTGCTTTTAGGGTGATTAGGGTGTGCCAACTACAGATCCCAAAGAACAGCTATAAGAATCACTTACTTGAGGGATATCTTTATCTCTGTTGTATGGAACAAAATAAAATACGTGGTATTGTTCAAAGAGAAACCGGTTGGGATTTTGGTTTGGTTTATTCCATGTAGAATTTGTAGGTTAAAATGGAAGCATGACACTACAGAATGTGGACTGGTTTGTGACTCACTTGAGAATTGGGTTGCACGATATTTTCCAGCGCCTTTAATTATACCAGATATATGTTTATTCTTAAGGATAATAAAATTTTTCATTAAAAATGTAAGACCCAAAAATAATTAGACTATGTCCTTGCCTTGCATTTCAAGTTCGAGAGTTGCTAACCACGTTAAGATCTTAGTAAATCAGTTAAGAATTCTGCGAGATAGCCTTGTTGTTACCTTGAATGGAAAACCTATGCTATTTGCGTTATTTTTTAATAAAATGTATATCGCAAGTTTATTTATTTATCAAGATAACCTGCACAGAAAGCAAAAAAAAATTGATTAAAATAAAGGGTTGTTCCGATACAAATACTTGTAATTTTAACGTTGAAAACGTGGACTGGTGCGTCTATACCTGCAGTTATAGAGAAACGTTCTGTGCGACGACTTTTCAGGTTCGAAAGCGGCCGTAACTAAGTAATGTTCTGCTTTTGTAATTAATTCACCCTGCGTTAATTTATTCTGCTATCAAATTAATCATAATCCTGATGAAATTTCTCCTTTTTTGTTAAGAGACTGGCGAGGCAACTGGCCCGTTTGTTGACAAAGTTTAAGACCTGCATCGAGATTTAGAGTGTGAAAACACTGTTCCGTGCTGTGAAGCTAAGTTATCAAACGGTTTATTTCTTTTTGTTTTTCAGTTTTGTCGCTGATTGTAGAGAACACATTTCCGACAGGTGAGTGGAGCATAATAGCCCAGCAGTAATTGGCAAAGACAATCAAGTGTTAATTGCAAATGGAATAGCCAAGGTTGTTTCGAATTTAATCCTGAAATTTGAACTTAATATAACTTGATGGTCTAAACTGAGTACTCTCATAGTGCAGTAACCTCACGAATGTTCTTTGAGAAGCGACAGTGAAGTGAGCGATAGGCAGGTAAGAAATGATTACCGGTATATCTCAGTCAGTGTTTGATTTTTCGCCACGCATTTCAACTTTATATGATAATTCCAATCTGATATCAAAAGCAACAAAGATAACTTAACCCTTCTACCCGTTCAGTCAAAAAGGTAAGTCCTACCATTAACCTTCATTTATTAACCATGCACAAGAAAGAGAATGTTTAAATTAAATTTTTTTCACAATAAAATGCCACACAGTCATTTGATTCTGACTGCTAGGAAAATGCAGATTACGAAAATTATTTGCAGAGTCCAGCAGTTCATTTCCTTTTCTTCTCTAATCCGTGTAGCCAACGGTAGGAGATTAAATTGTGTACTTTGAAGCAAGAAACAAAACTTTGTTGCATCACTCCGTACGAACTAAGCTCTCTACTTCGAATCAGGCACTCAGGTACTTTGTACCCATAAAAAACCTTAACCTTATGCTAGTTATCATTAATCAACATTGGACTAAAGTCGGCAAAACTAACAATAACTAGGGCTGTAAACTGATGCAGTTTTACCATTATTTTTTAATGGGCCTCTACTTTAGGGCTATTTTGATTGCAACAATTTTGTTAGTGATACGCTCGAGCGATGGTAAAATATCACCGGCCATGTTCCCTTTTAAAATATGATATCAATGTTACTTGGACTAGTTTTTTAAAGTGGAATATGTGGGTTTTCGTGGAGCTCGATAGACTTAGCTGGAGCCTCAGGGCCTAAAAGATTGGAAACGGGCTTAATGAAATCTAGAAAGGAAAAAAACAACAAAACTTCAAAATTCACTTTTGTGCAGGATATTTTTTATTGTTAAGCAGGATAAATTGGTGGAGGCCTCTTTGTAATATCATAGTGGCTCTGTTACATAACAATTATTACCATTTCCTTGTGTCACCTTTGTTGTTTCTTGTTAGCATTATTACCCCTGCTGAGAGACCTAAACTGAGTTGTTATCGCTTCAAAGCAATCAGTACAGCCACCTCCAGTAGGACATAGTGTGAGAGAAAAGGTGTTCACAAGCGCGACACTAGGGCACACTGCATACTAAAGAAACCGTGATTACTAGCAAAAAAAACTCAGTATTGAAAAGCTGTAATAAAAAGGTTGCATACTCATTTAACCTTGAAAGGAGGGCCTAGTTAATTTGATCTGTTCGTCTTGCTGCAGTAACTTTGCAGAATGGGTGATAGCAACAACTTTAAATCAAGCAAAATTAAGCGTAACAATTCTGGAATACCGTACTACAGTCGAACCTCCATGTGCGACGATCTCTCGTAAGCAATCACCTCCCATTAAGCGACCGCCTATCTAAAACACCAAACTTTTCCCAGTCAAAGCCTTACAGTTGTAAAGTAAACGACCATCTGTTGTAAGAGACTGCGACCACCTTTTTGGGCCTGAAAGTTTAATGATTTTCCAGTGGTTTTTAACCTCTTGTAAGCGATCACTTGACGTATTCTCTGATCTCTAGGTTCGTTGTGTGCACTATGGTACTTAGAATATGCGAAGATCTTCAGTGAAAACATAGAACTACACATGGCGTATCTTAGAAATTGCATGCAATAAATTATCTTCCATAAAGTCTATGTGCTTGCACCTCTTCTCGGAAGAAACCCCTGTGGTTCGTTTCTTGTAAAGGACCACCTCTCGTAAGCGACCACTCAGTCTTTGCGTTTGGGTGGTCGCCTACGGGAGGTTCGACTCTAAAACACTTGGAGACTAATGACACACCAAAAAACTTAAACTAAGTGCATCTGTGTGTGTGTGTTTTTTTTAAATTATTATTTTTTCTTGGCAGGCTCTTGCTTAGATTTTAAAATTTGCTTTTGCCCCTTTTCCTTCTTGTCTTCTTCTGCTCCAGTCTTCTTCTTAATCTTCTTCTTCTTTTACGTGCAAACTCGTCTAGCTAATCAATGTTTGTTACGATTTTTGCAGATACATTTCGCTTTCAATAAAACTGGGTACATCCCGTGTTGTTTAGCCTTTACTTATCGGCTCCTGCTTATATTAATTATGAACACATTATCTTTTTTAAATAGTTTCGGTAGTGATTGAAATATTGCGAATCACGAATGCTTTTCTGGTACTACCAGTTTAAGTGGCAATCAAATCACCCAAAGATCTCTATGCAAGGAACTTCAGAATAATTCCTCTATGAGTTTACATAAAGATTGTCTAGAAAGAGAAATCTGTTTTTTTTAACTTCATTCCGTGATGTTAGCGTCAAATGAAAGCGCATAAGGGTTTCAAGACTCAATCCACAGCTCTTTAAATAAGCGGTAATGACGCATTATTTCTTCTCATCAGAGCAGTATGTGTTTATGCTTGACAGTAACGACTTGACATAATTACAGTGGAGTTTGATGCACCACTCAGGGCCAAGAAGCCTGTAGTGTCTCTTTTAAAAGACTTTTATGGCACCACTTCGACGCAGTATATTTTGTCGGTCTTTTGTTTTACTCTTAAAACTAAAAGATATTATAAAAGTCGGCCCCGACAATGACGCACAAGTTGACATAAAATACAGTTTTGAGGAAATGTAATTCAAATAAGAATTTGCATGTAAAACAAAAAAAATTTACTGCGAACTTATTTAACGGTACGAAATCGACCAATTAAAACTTTATTTTATTCCTTTTTTGTTTTGTCTGGACGAATTGTCAATTTTTAAAGTTGTGCTTTATAACTTTTTCCCTCTAGGTCACTAACAGCACCATGGAAACAGAGCTAAAAGCCATAAGAGAAAAAACGGACCACTGCGTGAAAGGAGCGAAAGAAGTTTGGAAGTCAGAGACTGACGAAGCCTCACGCGTGATCAAAGATTTCGGGTCTTACACTACGCTACATGGGTTCCATTTCATATTTGACTCCGGCTCGCTGATACGAAGAATTATCTGGATAACCCTAATATTGCTGGGCATTGTTTTCCTTTTCTTCCAATTTCGAGATAACTACAGAAAATATCAAAGGAACCAGAGCATCATAAGCAAATCCGTTGAGCACGATGAAAAGCTTTTATTCCCTGCCATAACTATATGCAACCAGAACATGATGAAGAGGAGCAAAATTCTTGGAACGGACGCCCAAACATTCCTTGACCAACAGGATTTTGTAAAAATTCACGTCTTAGGTAAAAGCCTCATGGACAAAGAAGTTGATCCGTCGCTTAACGTTGACGAAATCGTCACGAACAACAGTCATGTGCTCTCCGAAATGCTGCATAAGTGTACCTTTCAACACCAGGAATGTTCAGCCGCTAACTTCACTTCATTCCTCTCATTGATGGTAAAAGTAAATGATAATATCAGATAGAAACAGGGAAAATAATGAGCTGTTATTGAAAAGATGATCAGATGAATACGATATAAAGATTTATACATATCGCGGAGGGTGTTACCTGCCAGAGGGGCCGAAGGCTGATGTGGTAACACTCATCGAGATCTGCATAATTCTCTTCATCATACGAAAGCCGACGAATATTTCCCACCTTATAACATTCTTTCTATGCCTTAAGTTTCTTTAAACCACTTTCCAGGCCTGATGTGCAGTTCGATGATATGACTGGATGTCATAGCACTTAGTAGTAGTTAATCTCCCTCACGTGGCTTTTCAGTTCTTGTCAGTTTCTTGCTATCTATTTTGGTCAGTACCTAGACTAATTCGGCTATTTTGTCTTCACTAATTGTTTTAAAATGCTTCGAAATCTTCCAGCCATTTTCCTCAAGAAGCTTAGGTTGTTTTGTGGTGACATGCATCCTTGCGCAACTCATAGAAACTACTCGTGTTAAGTGAAACACCTCATAAGTCCAATCATTTTATTACTAGCAATCTCTCTTATTATACAGCTGAATCCACGAAACCTGTACTCTGATTGGCTACCTGGGAGGGCAAAATGGGTCCACCTTACCCCCTCGGGATTTCCCGCGTTGGTCCCCCAAGAAAAAGGATCTTTTTTTGGCAATACAATAAATCCTTTATATACCAAGCCTCGACTTTGTTTCGGTCCGTATAAAACGCAAAAAAGAATTTAGCCAAACTCGCTCATGGCTGAGCATGGTTGGTCAATAACGCATATCTATATAATTTGTTTAGAGTTAGCGCGTTGTAATTGAATGGATATGGGGAAAAGAAAATCTTTCAACCATCCTTCAGGCTAACTCGTATTTTTTAGATAAATCAAACGTATGGAAATCACAAAAGCGAAAGGTTTTAATTAGTAAGACTAAAATGTTCATGAAGATATGTTGGTTCGATTGTACGTAACCCATGCAGAAATTAATCTCGACATCTCATTGGCCTAGAACTAAACATAACCAAAGAGCTACCCTAAAAATATAACAGTAATGCCTGGTGAAGACGCTCTCTAACCTCCTGTCTTTTTGCTTGGTATAATACTCGACGACGAGGACGACGATGATGATGTGATAATGATGGCCATGGTGATGGGGATATTGATGGCGTTGATGATGATGATGATGATGATGATCATATTCATTGTGATAATTTAGTTCCCAGTTGTAGTGCTGATGATGATGACGATGGTGATGGAGGTAATGATGCGTTTTTTCCATGTGACAGCGGTGGTGGTGTTCATGGCGAAGACGGTTGAGGGGAGGGGGGCGGATACTTTTCTATTAGATCCGTCAGTATTCTTCATGTAAGAGGCGAGATGAGTAATCTAAAGCGTTTGGTATTTTTTTCCTTTTCAGCGAGGCGTATGTTATACGCTAAATTCTGGGCATCCGAATCACACTAAACTGTACGTGACTACATCGGGAAAAATACAAGCGTTGACACTCTCCCTGGATGCACAGCCAGAGGAGTACTATGGACCATACAGTTATGACGCAACAGGTTTTAAAATTTTGGTTCATGATCAAAACGAGTCGTATCCCAACATTGAAGACTTTGGTGTGGATTTACCACCTGGTTTCACTACCAATATACGCGTGCGAAGGACTAAGGTAGGTTTGAAAAGATTGTCCTAATCATTATTTGAAACATCTTTTTCAGAAACCTCGTCCCAGTTGTTCAAAAGGTGGATAGCCTTATCCACTGGATAATTCACTATCCAGTTGATAACGCAATTAGTTTCCGTAATACTTATCCATTGGAAACAACCTCGTCCCCAGGTCTTTTCCCTTAAAAAATGGGTGGGGCCATTTTTTAAGGAAAAAGCCCTGGGGACGATGGATAGCGATTTATCCGGTGGATAGCGCCATCCAAATTTTGAACAACCGAGGCCAGGCTGTAAATCGCCCATTTTTTCGGGGGGCAGTTCTCCCGTATGTGGCATCGATAGGTCCCGCAAAATGGGGTGTGATTTCTGAGGGGCTTGATCCTTAAATAGGGTGTAGTTTTCGTCCTAGTTGGCATTGTGGTCCCTGTGTGATCCTTAGTTAGGGTACATTAATTGTATCAGCTAAAATTCTGGTACGTAATTGTAAATACCCGACTACTGTTAGTGTCAGGAAAGTGATCTAATGTTGTTTTCCCTTTTCCCTCTGTAATTATTGCACTGTAATCTTTGTTAACGTTGTAAACACATGTGCCTTTTGGTGCTCTGTTGATAATAAAGCTATCTATCCATCTATCTTAAATAGGCTGTCAATTTCTGTTTACGTTATTCTTAAACCTGTGGGGAACACACCTATCCGAAATTTATGGGAGTATCCCCCGGGACCAAGAGTAATGCCATCCAAGGCCATAAAGATTACAGCTGACCATAGGAAAAACAGCTTTAGTTTACTTAATCATTTTTCACGTCTTGATTGTAGACAATAACTCTTCCGAAGCCATTTAAATCTGGTTGTGGTACAAAGAAGCTGGACTCAACTTTTCCGGTTTACACGGAATACGCATGTCTGTTGGACTGTTACACTAAGATGGTTGTAAACGCGTGTGACTGTCGCATGATATCAATGCCACCGATGAGTAAGATATTTCTTGATGCATTAATGTAAATAGCTCTTTACTCTTGTTTTGCACTTATTTATGTTTTCTCGAGAACTTTTGACGAATGAAAGCTCACAAAATGCAAATTGCGCGATCTTTCCTTATTATTTTTCTCCTTATACTTTTTTTCTGTTGCGCGCGCTTAGTTTTTCAAGCGTTATTTCCATTACTGGTAAGAGTGTTTGTAGATATTGAATAGTAGTGAAATCTCGTATTGGTGGTCAATTCAGTAAAAGGTTTTCGAAGAATTTAAGATACGGTCCAGATAAGAACGATAGCAACAACGGCAACGAACATGTTGGAATGCAGAAAAGGTGCTAACTTTTCTATTGTCTGTACTTACTTCTGATTGGCTTAAACAGCAAAAGTTAACAAAACTTCATAAAGCAGTACATATATTCATCCTTACTTTCCAGCCATCTTCCATATAACAAAATCTGGTCTCAGTTTGAATAACAAAGAAATCCTATGTGGGGAACATGTAAAATTGTAAACTTTTCTTGGCTATTGTTTTCAACTCTTGTGATTGGTCAAAATCTTTTAACGCAAAAAAACACCCTTTCAAAGTGGAGTGTAAATGCATTTTGTACAGGTAATCACATGATTTCGAGTGCAATTTGGAATAAATAAGCACGAGTAAATTTTTTCAAAGGCTAACAAAATTGCACGAGCCCGTAGGGCGAGTGCAATTTGTGGTCTTTGAAAAAATTTACGAGTGCTTATTTATTCCAAATTGCACGAGAAAAATCATGTGATTACTTATTAATAATATTCATGAAAAAATTGCGAGATAGCTTTAAAATCTCTTTAATAGGGAGTCAACCCGCGTAAACTACGAGCAAAAATAAATTATTCAAATGCTNTTGGAAGAACTAAATTCTCGGTCACGTACAATGGACAGGGTGCAGCCTTTGTTCTTTAAGTGTCTATCAAGCGATGCCTTCATTACTTTAAGGCTTTCTGGTTCATAATCTTCACCTTTTTTGTATTGTTTACTTCGGCGTAGAAATGCTCGAGCAAAGTGTTAAGCTCAGCCGGCTCATAATTTTCTATTTCATCAGTAATTACCTTACCTACGCACCAATTCTTCCAAAAAGAGAGCCAAAAACCAGTGCTTTTCGCAGTGTTTTCCTTTTTAGAGCGGTTTTTCAGCTCCTCTACAGTTGTTTCGGTCGCAAAAGCAAATGTGCTGCAAACGCCAACCATTGCGGTTTTTGCTCGAAACTGGTCCGGAGCGGATCAAAATTTTGCGCCATTTAGATGGCGCATTTGATTGGCTCTCAGTGAGTTCCTTTGTTTTTTAGCCTATCAGAATGTCACGTTTGTTACTCTTTTCTGCACTAAATTACCTTTTTTCTGCACTCAATTACCTTTTTTCTGCACTGTGTTACCTAAAAACTGCATTCCTCTTAGCCAATCACAATCGAGAAATTTTTTCATGTATATTATTAATTGCGTAAACGGCCGTCATGTAGGTTTATGCATTCTCTGTGTAAAAATGAGAACATTCCTATGTGGGGAAAGCACCGTTGCCGCATAACAAAAGAAATTGCTATCCACCTTACCCGGATCATTACTTAAACGGAAATGGAGTTTCAAGTGGAGAGAAATGCTGTCGTTCTTGACCAACAACATGGCCGCCGTGACGTCACATGCAAACCAGCAATAGATAAATGACGTCACATGACGTTTTTACGTCCACCATATTATCGTCCAAAACAGATGTCCCATGCAAACCAGTCCTGTGGGAGATGTTGAGCCATTTACTTATGTAAACGTACACTTTCAATTTGCACAGCTTCTGGCCACGTGAGTAAAAACTGACGCGCGCCTTCTTTCCTCAGAGTGTCGGTCAAATGTTATTGCGTCACTTCATGTTACTTCTGCTGGGTTTCTACTGAAAATTACGGATAATTGATCATCTTTTATTATACGTTTTAGCCCACAATAGATAGACTGTTCGCTGATATTTTTGCTGGCCTGTCCATGTATCCGTAGGAGTTCTACATTTTGTAAACATTTGTAAAAGGCAACTCACTCTTTATTGATCGCAGGATGTTATATATTTTATTTCATTACGGGGTTCAGCTATCAGTGGAGGCATAGTGAACTAGTCTCCTCGAATGTGTAGGTAAAGGTTTTAGTCTTTCCCAGAGACCTGACCTTTAATGCTCCACCTTGTCTCTTTCTACACTGCCTGGTGTGACAGATTAATACTGTGAACATCTGGCCGGGTGATGGTTGGGGGCGGGGGAGACTCCTTGGTGCTTCAACATAAACCGAAATTAGCTCCGCCGTTATAGGCCTCATTGGCTTAAAGCTTTTCTTCACCCTCTGCTGTAAATTAACTAAGTCAAACGTCATGGTTCTGGGCACAAATAAATTTTACAGTTATTTCAACAGGTGAAGTTAATCATACAAGATTCTGTAGTGCAAAAGAGCTCCTCAAATGTGCTTTTCCAAAAGCCAGTAAGTAACAAACAAACAAAAGTCTTAACAGCCATTTTAAATCTCTGAAAAAAGACTAAGTCGGAGATATCGACAAGATTCTTGTATCCTTGTTTTATAGCAAATTTTAACCCAAGCCGCTGTGATTGCCCCGTGCCGTGTGAAAAAATTGACTATCAGGTGCAGTCCTCCATGGCCTATTCCCCGTCAAGCCACTTGTGGGATACCCTCTTGCCACTCTATAACGTCGCACCAAATGATACAGAAAAAGTCAGAGAGTACCAAGACTATGTCAGGTAAACCTTTTGTAATGTAAATCTGTTCGAAATTCTCTTCGAATCTCCCTGATCTTCCGCAATAATTGCTACATTTCGAGCACGCGGGTAAGAGTGTTTCAGCAGATTTCAAACACTGAAAAATGGAGCGTAGCAAATTTTTTAAAGCAACTTTGAAGTCGGCGGATTTATTACCCTTGCACTATTTTCAAGACAACTATCGCCTCTTCAATTCATGTATAGATTGTTCACTGTTTGCTTATTTTCTTTTTAACGAATTCGAGAAAATACTTATTTCTTTTAAAACTCTTCACTCAGCTACTCTCATCTTCCAACCCACCAACCTCTTATGATCATTACGCACAAGCAGGTAGCCTAATGTCTTGAATCCCCTCAATTTTTAGATCTTACAAAGAGGCATGCGTGGCCTTGCAGTGGTCTTTTCAGACACACTAGCCGTCCCGGGTTCGAGATCTACTCAGACCACTAGCTGGATTTGTTTCTCGGTCGTTCCTAGTTAAAATCCTTTGCTACGCTTGTAAATCCCCAACTGGTTGCCTTGTGTTATTTAATTTGATTACCGTTTTTAATTCGAGTGGAGTACTTTTAGACAAGGTGGAAAGCTAAATGCACTTCACTTCCACATTACCTTTTTACCATTTAATGAAATGAACGCAGCTAAACTTGAATCGACATAATTTTATTTGATTTTAACTACTACTGCTTTTTGTTTCTTTTGACTTGTTAGAAAAAGGATGGTACAAGTGAACGTTTATTATGAAACTCTGGACACAGAGGTAACCGAGGAAAAACCTGCTTATGATCTCAACGATTTTGGATGTAAGTATGAACAGTACCGGGGTCTGTCAGGTATAGTCGATTCTTTTTCAGACCCTTCTTGAAGACCGACACCTCCCTCACGATGGCACCCGCTGTTCTTCAGTCATTTTTTACGTCCACAGACGCATGTGCGTCTCGTCTTGGAACTTGACGGCCTAAAATGACGTACACATCTGATACGTCCGTCGATTACACGCCGTTCGCGTCACTTTGCCCTACTATTTGTACTACGCAGCTATCATAGACGTCTTCTGATTTGGATATGGGATATGGGCAACATTATCGTCCGTGTTTTTTAGGGTAGACTGCAAGCAGTCTCTTATTTTTCTTTGCAAAGTTGCTCGACGGGTAACCCATGCACGCTTGTCCCTAATAGTAACGTCGTTGTTTGTAATCGCACTGGCTGAGATAACAACTGAACGGATTTCAAAACAAAAGGCGGACAGCAGGCAGTCTAATTAGTGTGCATTTCAATTTCCTTTCAGCGGACGTCGGAGGTAACATGGGATTATTTTTGGGCTGCAGTCTGCTGACGCTATGTGAATTTGTTGATTTGATTGTGATCATGTGTCTTCAGTGCTGGCGGAAAAAGAACGCAGTAGTTCATGCGAGGGAAGATCACTTTAGATAAAGCTACCGTGAAGCTACACATGTTCTCAAACCCGAGTCAACCAAAAAAATGGATGTCGATGACAGGACTTAAAGTCCCAGTAGTTCGAGAACTAGCCTGGAAACAGGCTCCGTAGTGGGTGAAAAAGGCCTTTCCTGTCCCCAGACTCCCGCTCTCACTGCAGAGCCTGGTCCCAGGCTCCCTGAAAACTTACGGTTAGCCCTAACCCAGGGTTAAAATTATACCCATTCCTGCTTGAGAGTTTCAGATAACTGGTTCTCTAAGTAACACCTCCGCAATATCTTTAGTTATCAGTCACAATTACAATCTGTCCTGGGTTTCTCCAAAGACGGTAAACTTTCAAACCCAAGGCTTGGGTTAAAGTTTACCGTCTTTCGAGCAACCCGGGACAGATCCTTAACGATCTTAGAAAGAAGGGGAAGCTTTTGAGTTCAAAATATACTCAGTTAGTTACTTTTAGGCGTGGCCGAGGATCTGAGGTTGCGACTACCAAGAACAAATCCAGCTAGCGGTCAGGGCGGGACTTGAACTCGGGTAACCGCTCGGCCACGCGGCCTCCACGCTGCTTTCCATCGTCTCGGAACATGGACTAATAACTCAGGGGTCACTTATAGAGTGTTTTCACTCACGTGGCCAGCATCTATGCAAATTTATTGGAACAAAAGAAAGCGTTTGCATAAGAAAAGAGTTCAACTCCCACAGGACTGGTTTGGGACACCAACATGGCCGCCGTTTCATTGTTTTGGGACACCAATATGGCCGCCGTGACGTCATGTGAAAACACTCTATTAAAGTAACACAATTTATAAAATTATTAGTTATACTCGGGTTTTGATAAGATCTCACGCTGTGGAAAAGCGAACAAAGTTAGCAAGATCACAATTNGGAACAAAAGAAAGCGTTTGCATAAGAAAAGAGTTCAACTCCCACAGGACTGGTTTGGGACACCAACATGGCCGCCGTTTCATTGTTTTGGGACACCAATATGGCCGCCGTGACGTCATGTGAAAACACTCTATTAAAGTAACACAATTTATAAAATTATTAGTTATACTCGGGTTTTGATAAGATCTCACGCTGTGGAAAAGCGAACAAAGTTAGCAAGATCACAATTTCAAAGCAGTCAGGAAGTAAACGGCAACACTAAGGAACGGCTCCTGTAGCATTTCTCATTCTGCTTTGAGTTGCATATTGCGTTTTTTTCTCTTCCGGCTCGCTTTTCCTCAACCTGAACAATCTTAATAGGCTCAACTAATCACTGGGTTCAGAAATCATGACCAGGTTAATCAGATGGTTGCATGAACGTAAATTTTGGAAAAGCAGTTTATAGCATATTATAATCTGCTCACAATCAGTTGTATAATCGATCATTCACTATCGTGTGAAAATAATCATGACTTCATAATAGTCGGTCAAACAGACAATTCACTTTGGCCACTTTTATCTATAATTTTTGTGCGATTAGTTTTTAACTCTTTGTACCGAATTAAAGGAATATTAAGGACATACCACGCCATTTAGAATAAGCTGTGGAGAATAGTTGGCCAATATTCAAGATAGCTGTTTATACTTTTTAATCAATAAAGCGAGGATGTACTTTGATCTTTTATTCAACGAAAATGTAAAGTCTTTATTTCATAATGTACCCCTACTGTGAATAGGATTGGGATTAAGATATCTTGTAAAAACGTAAGTTATTGAGTGAATACAGAAATAATAAATCGAAAGTAAACCAACCGCGGATTGTCTGTGCTTGGATGTTGACGATAGAATCCAAATGTTAAGGGCTTTAAGGTCTAAATGTCTAAATGATGTCTAAATATCAAGTCAAATGTAAATGACCTACTCCCCATATCTGATAATTCCAATTATTTAAAACTGAATCATTGAATAATGCAATTCTAGAGCTCTGATTGGCTTAGCCATCATGGTATATGAGCCATCATACCATGCTCTCCAAACATAGTAACTGTACACGACTGCTTAAAATTAAAAACAAGCTAAAAATCGGTTGTTTTTACAAATAAATTCGGAAAAAAATTCTCGATATTTTGCGGTCTTTTTTAATAAAATAATTATTCTACTCGCGCTTGTTGGATATGAAATGATTTAGCGCCAGCTTCCCAGGCTAAGTTTTCAGTTACTTAGTGAGACGTTTCACATCTGCAAACATGAGGCGGGGGAGTACTGACAGACGGACGATTTTGTTACAACCACAATTTCTTGTATCCAAAAATAACCAAATTTTCTTACCCATGGTGCAAAGCTGTGCGCGCGAGCTCCGCTATTATTTGAATTACCTATGGATCGCGTCAAAGCCGCGCGAGTCATGCTTACGGAGAACTGGCCCTGGTTGTTCAAACGATGGATAGCGCCACCGGATAAATCTCTTTCCACTGGATAGGTATTAAGGAAACCAAATTGCGTTATCCAGTGGATAGCACTATCCAACGTTTGAACAACCAGGGCCTGGCTTCTTTTCCTGCTAAACAATAGGTATTATCTAGTAAGAAGAATTGGTGATCAAAAGCATGCGCCCTTTCTAGGGACCCTATTTAAGGAAATGAAGGGGAAAAAAAACCAAGTAAAAATTTTCTATGAAATATTTTATTGATTGCTCATTAAAGCTCTTCAGAGCTTCTTGTTTAATCTGATATAAATGATAGCTTCTCTTGGCGTCATTTTCGAAGGTTGTACGTAATGAAATATGGTACAAAAACTAGAACGTGAGAGTATGATTACGAATACTGC